CGAGCTCACACGCACTGTGAGGCCGTGAGGGAGAACGGGGTGAAGGGCACCCTCTCGGGCACTGGTTGAGTGACGAGGGTGACGTGGGACTTGGGCGATGGTGGCGGGGGTGGCAGAGAGGGCAGTGTCCTTGGGGGACATTTGGAGGGCAAACTGCAGGGCTTGGCGTTGCGGGAGGGGAGGACATCAGGGTCCCGTCGGGTTTGGGGCCTGGAGAGATCAAAACCAAGATGGAAATGGCCCCTCTGGCTTCCCACTCAGACCCGTCGCCTGGCCTGGATGGTTTCTCCCCCCGTGAAGTGGGAGCCACCACGCCATCAACCCGGGGACTGCCCCGAGGTGGGGCGGGCCCCGGGGGCTCAGGCTTGGGGGAGGAGCGGGACGACCTCCTGCGCCGGCCTCACTCCCCCTGGACCCGACTGTCCCCCACACATGGCCTGTCCGGCTCTGCCGCCTCCGCCACGCTGAGCCCCACGCACCCTCCTTACAGAACACGGAACCCAGCCAGGAGCCGGGCAGACATCTGCCGCTTGGCTCCTCCTGGCCCAGCGGGTGCACGCACCACCCCCTTGCTCCGGGGCCCCCGACCCCTGGGCCCTGTTTTGTGCCGTCTTCCCTGGGGGAGGCGTGGAGCTCGACCAGATGAGTTTCAGTGGAGACACACTGGACTGGCCACTGGTCAGTGAAACTGGCCGCAGCTCCGTTCGGGCGCCGGCAGGCTGCAGGGTATGGAAAAGAGAAGCTTCTAGATCATCAAAATCTTCTGAGCACAACAAAGGGACAGTTCTGCTGGTCAACTTCTGGCACTTTTTGCCCAGGGGATTGGACTCATCGGGTGGCAGAGAGGCCACGGCCGCCTGGGGCCACCGGAGGACCCGTTCAGTGCGGGGCCGGAGTGGCCACGCAGATGCCGACCTCCGCTTCGAGTGCGGGGCCGCCCGCCTGTGTCTCGGGGGAGGGGACGGGCAGTTTGCACCAGCTCTGCCGAGCTCTGCCTGCCTGGCCAGGTCGCAGGTGGAATCTGTCACATGTGGGTCCCCGGCCTCCCTTGGGGACCACTGTCTTCCTGGATGCACCCTCAAGACCCCTGCCTGCCTCAGGCCCACCCTCACCCCAACGCCTCCAGTCCAGGCTGCAGCGAGGGGGCAGCTGCGGGCAGCGCTCCGTCCTGGTCTCCTTTGGCCGTCACCCCCAGCACAACAGGGCAGCACAGGAGACCACACACCACAGGCTTTTCCAAAAAACCAAAATATGAATTTTTATTGTCTCAGATGCAAATATAGTTTTCAAACTGCATTGTAGTGTTGAGTACAGCTGGTGGCGACGTGCGAAGGGGCTGCCCTGGGGCGGCCTCTGACCTCTGACCCCTGGTTCTCAGGCCCCGGGCAGCGCGTCCTGAAGGAGCCAGGCACAGCCACCGAGCTCACACAGTGAACCGAAACCTGGGGAAGGGACGAACGGGGCGCACCGGCTGCGGGTTAGCGTGAGCGAGCGGCAGCCACCTTTCTGGGCCGTGAGGACTGGCAGGTGACGCGGCAGGCGAGGGAGTGGGCGCGGCTGCGTTCGGGCACCGCTATGGGCACTCGGCCCGGCCCTGTGTCCCAGGGGCCCTCAGACTGTCCACCTGCAGGGCGTAACTCCATGGAAATGTGCAAAACACCAGCGTCTCCAGTCTCCAACCCTCCACAACCCCCGTTCTCGAGAGCAGCAGCCTCTGCTCAGAAACTCGGAAGAGAATTTCTCTAATTAGTGACGCCCACGGTCGACTGTGGGACTGAGAGTTGAACTGGGAGATGTAGCTGAATTTTGCTACGTGATTGGAAAGGAACTTCACAAACATAAAATGCCAGTAACACGCACACACGCACCAGCTTGTGTAAGTGCACACATACACACAGAGGCAAAGCCAAAAAACAGTATAAAAAAGCTCCCTTTTCGGTCTCCAAGGCCAACTCCCACAGCCTGGACAGAGAAACAGCCTGGGCGGTGAGCCTGGAGCGCCTCGTCCTCAGAAGGAAGAGAAAATGGGTTCCTGATCTGGGCAGAGGACCTCTGGGTGCTCCCAGAGCCCCTGCGACCAGCAGGCCCTGCGGAGCGGCTGGGACCGAGGCAGCTGCTGCACCGGGCGCACCAGCATGTTCGCCTCTGGGCCCTTCCCCCCATACCTGGGGGCTCAGACCTGGGGAACATCTTTACCGCGTGAGGCTGAGCCCACACACCGGGCCTGCTGCCGCGGGGCATCCTCGAGACCCCCGTCCCCACCAGGCTCCAGCTGAGGGATACTCTGCCAAGGCAGATCTAAGGAGCCAGAGCTGGTGGGGTTCACCTACCGCATAGCTTGCGGGAAGCAGCGTGCCTCTCGGGAAAGGCAATTCTCTCTCCAGAGAGAAAGAGCTGCCCGATGGGTACCCGAGACAGTGGGACAAAGACCACCAAGGGACCAGGGGACCCTGGAGGGGAAGGGACTGCAGACAGTGGGCAGGGTGATGAGGCCACGGGCTGAGCCAGCCCACCTGGACCCAGCAGGACGAAAGACCTGAACCAAGGGGGTGCACCAGCCGCACACACTGAGGGGACCTGCGGCCGCCCAGGAGACTCCCCTAGGCGGGCGGCGGCAGCCAGGACTGGGCACGGAGGGAGACGTGTGCGTGGCCCTTCCTAGCGGTGGGGTGCGAGGATGTCACTCACCACTGCACCCCTTTCCTGGGGTAGGACAAAGGATTTGACACCCTTTGCGCCCCACATCCCCTATGAATCAAAGCTTACGTTTCTATCAGCCCCAGCAAAACAAAACCAAACCCTCAGGCCTGACCTCAGCAAGGGGGAAGTGGGGTCAGGTCACAAGGACAGGAAGTGAAGAAAGTCGGGTGCCCAAGGACATACCAGCAACCACTGACCTGTCCCACCTCCTACGGAGACCCCCCCACACACAAAACTGCCCTGGGCCCCGCCCCTCCTTCCGCCAACACCCGCTTCCCTCGAGAGGTGAAAGCCCCCCAGAGCTGCCAATCTGCCACAGGGTCTGGGTCCTCTCCAGGGGGCGACAGCTGGGGCGTCACTTGCCTGAGACAGGAGGGACGGGCCTTTCACTTTTCAGAAAGCCCCGTGGTGGCCCTGCCGCGTCCCACTCATTGTGAAAGCGCCGCAGCGCGCAGGAGGCTGATGGCACAAAGATTTCACAGAAACGCTTGCAGACTCGTGTGTGCCAGACAGAAGCGTCTCTTCTCATTTTCAGTTTGGTTTCCGTATTATCAGCATGTCAGCATTTTTAAGTCTTTTATGGGAGCAGGGACAGAAGTGGGCGTGAAAAGCAGTGTAAACAAACGACAGCCCACGGCCAGTGTCCATCGGAGGCCGCTGGCAGTGGCCTCGGTTCCCCTACGCCCTGGCTGGTGACCCTGGGATGGAAGCCAGAGGCCCTGGGGACCGGCTGGCCAGACCCGTCAGGCGGGACCCCGGACGACGAGACTCGGCCACCGGAGCAGCGGGGAGCAGCGTCGCAGCCCCAGAGCTGTGGTGAGCAAGAGCACCAAGAGAAGGGGTTTGAGCAAACACCTCGGAACAAAGACGAGCCGCACACACACACAGACACACATACACACACGCCCTTTACATCACACACAGCCCAACAGCCTGACACGTGCAATTAGACAGAACGCAACATCACATCAGCAGGAGGGAGAGAGGTAGGCCGGAAAAGCGAGAGGCCGATTCTACATCCACGGAGTTTGAAAAAATGGACGCCCAGCGAACGGCGGGAGGCGGCTGTGGGCCCGCAGCCACCTGGAGGTCTCAGAAGGCACGGGGTCTGCGGAGGGGCCCTCGCGGCCACGGGCCTCCCGTGTCTGCCTGTTTCCTAGCGACCCCGGGGGGCTCTCAATCTTCCCCTTCAGAAGGGGACTTCGCATTACCCTGGGGGCAGCGACGGCTCCCCTGCCGCGTCCCAGCGGACGCGAAGGACCAGCCCGGCCCGTCGGGAAGGCCTGTAAACACGATTTCGGGGGTGGGGGAGGGGGCCAGGTGCCGCTCGCGTGTGAGCTTGGAGCACAGGCCGGGGCAGGTGACAGTCGGTGGCCGTGGCAGAGGTGGTGGTGCAGCTGGAGAGGACCCCACCACCGGAGGCTGAGATGGCCTGGTTGTCCTCTGAGGACAACCCCCCACACGGCCCCCAGGCTCCCTGGAAGCCCACCGGGCCCCCTGCCCGCCCGGCACTGCAGTCCCCACCTCTGGCTGGGAGGACCAAGGACAGCCAGCTGGCTCTGAGCTTCACAGCAGGACAACAAAAGCACGTCCTTTCACGGGGAAGCAAGCCGGGCTCCCTGAGTGTTGGGGCGCCCTTCCCTGGCACGCCCACAGGACCAGCCCGAGCACCCTCCTGCTGCGCCTCCCTCCACCCACCCGCGGCGGTGCCCACACTGCACAGAGTGACGCCCCAGGTGTCCTCCACCTCATCAACTCTGAGCTCGGTATGTTCCTGTCTGACCTGGCAATGCGGAGGGACAACTGAGGCCGGCCACCTCGGAGTCCTGCCCGTGGACACTGAACGTCTTCCTGGAAACACAGGGCAGGGCGCTCTTTGGGCGTGGCGCCATCTTTGGTCCAAGAACCGGTTTGGGCCTCGCAGGTGAATGGATGCTGACAAGCTGAGCTGGCTGGTGGCAGCACCACGGGCCAGTCTTTCAAATGCTACACCTGAAGGGCCACGTGCATCCGTGCATCCGTCCGACGCTGCCGGCTGGGCAGAAAACAGGGTGGGGGGGCCGCACGTCCGGCTGACACGTGGCGAGGCGCCAGTCCGTCCTGACCACGCCTCTCCAGCAGCCACGCTGGGCGGGGCCAAACCAGAGCAGCCTGGGAGGTTCCGGGCGCAGCGGCAGCAACTCGGCACTGCACCTGCCCCATCCTCACCCACGTGCCGGTGCGCCCTCCGCCTTCGCACGCGGGAGATCTGGGGGGGGGTGTCCCCAGGCGGCTGGCAGTGTGCCAGCCGAGCAGCATTCCAAGTCTGTCACAAGGTCAGGGATGGGGGGAGGAAGAGAGAGACCTCCCAACTGTCTGGGGCGCACCGGGCCCGTGCAGCGTCATTCAGAGCCGGCCCGGGCCCAGGACGGGACAGACGGGCACTGGGAAAGGACCCGAGTTCTCTGACTGCAGAAGCAGGTGTGGCCTGGCAGACCAGCGGGCAGCGCTGGAACTGCGGAGGCCTCCTCTGTCTGGGCTGCCCACGGGCAGGGGAGGCTGTGACTGAGGTCGCCGAGGGCCAGATTACAGCAAGGGGCTCCGACGACGGGCTACTGCCACCTGCAGGACCCAAACCTGCTTCAGGCCTGAGCGTGGTGCCCTCGGCCCGCTGGGCCGGCGGCATCGGAAGGCAGCCCCGAGGCTCTGCAACTGGAGAGGCGCAGGCGCAGCCTCCACTCCACAGGCAGGGTGGGTGCCCGCGGTGTCCTGTGCACACACGCCGTCCAAGCGCTGCTAAGACTCCCCGGGCCTCTGGCCGATCCTGGTGACAGCCTGCGCCGCCTGCTCGGGCAGCTGGGACGGGTCCGTCAGAATGGAGGTGGTGGTGCTCAGGTGGCGCAGGGTGCTCAGCACGGCTGGAAGACGGGGGAGTCAGCCTGGAGGCACGGCACAGGCGGCACCCCAAGACCCCCAAGGCCAGGACACAGGTGGTCTCTCACACACGCCCATCACAGTGGCTCATGCCGGCCCAAGGAGGGGCTCCGGGCCCCCCCACCTGTAGGACCTGGCTCTGACCCTCTCTGTATCCCACCCACAGAGGCGCCGGGAGGCCCCGCCCCGCCCCCCAGTTGGCATCTCTGGCTCTAGGGCTGCGCATGGCACCACCCTCCCGGCCAGGCACCGCCTGCACAGCCGCTGCAGCAGGCCTGAGTTTTCTGGGCGCTAAGGGCACAAAGGGTGGCAGCCTCCCCCCAGGCACCCCCCACCCCGCCAACAGCACCCCACTCACTCGGCCTAAGGATGGGCAGGGAGCAATGGCGGTCCAGCCAGGACAGTGCTGTGCGGTGCAGCTCCTCCAGGCTGCTGGTGGACACCGCCCCCTTGAAGGACTCAAACAGTGGCTTGATGATGATGCTGAACTGCGCGGTGCGTGGGTTAAGGGAAAAGGAAGCGAGGAGGACGGCCTGTGGCCGACCTGCAGTTGAGACAGGAATCTGGACATCACGAGTGGGCCTTGCACTCACCTGAAATGTCTAACTCGGACTGGCCACCGGGCCGGTGGGTGGCAGGCTCAGGGGGCGGCTCTGGCCGGGACAGGTCCCAGTACCAGGACATGGGCACCACACTCCGAAGCCCCTTGGCCGACACCGGGGTGACGCCCTGGTATACGCACAGCCAGGCGAGTGTGCCCCGAACACACCTCCCTCCCAGAATCCACAGCTCAGCCTGGAGCGCACCGAGACACCAACACCAGCCTACAGTCGGGCGGGGTCGTCTAGCAGCGACTGTGGCCCTCCCCACAGTTTCAAGGATGTGCTGGCAGCTGGGATGTGTCTGACTGAATGCCCGTCCTTCTGCAAGTGGCTCTGGCACTGTCCCCCCTTCTCAAAGACCCAGAGCCCACTGCCGGTCTATCCCCTCAGGAGCCCCGAGCCCGGGCAGTGGCTGACAAGAGCCCCAGAGCACACTGCGGCCCAGGGCCCCGTCTCACGAGCAGAGAGCCAGCCTTACTGTCCTGAAGAACTCAGGGACAGCCGGTTAGAGAGACCCTTTCTAAGGGACTGGAGTGTGGGCGTTGGCTGTATTGGTTTGGGGTGAGGTGCGCAAAGGAAACCCAAAGATACAATCCAGAACTTCCAATTCTGCAGGGTCCGGCTCTTCACATACTCGTCAAACATGTCTGTCATGTGGTCACACTGGCGCCGGGTGACAGGGACTCCTGTGGCAGGCAGCAGCTGCTGGCAGGAGCTGGGAGGACAGGAAGAGTCAGAGAAAGCTCGGAGTGGCTGGTGATAAATGTGGGCCCCAGGCGGCGAATAGGCAGGGCCAGCCTGCCGTGGGGTCCCCAGGCCCAGGACGTGGGCCAGGGAGGAGGGGGAGGACAAAGTGCCCACTTGCTGCGACAGAGGCACCATCGCGCCCGGGACACGGGGACAGGCGCCCGCCTCACATGATGGTGGCGTTGAGCGCCTCGACCTCATCCCGCAGCCGCCGAGCCTCCTCCTGCATCTGGCCGCGCTCCTGCTGCAGCTTGGTGATGTACTCCACCGTCTTCTGCAGCGTGATGGCGCGGCTGGTCTGCGGGCGGGCAGGGGTCAGCGCGGTGCCCGGCCGGCCGGCGGCGCCCACCGCCCCAGGCCCTCGGCAGCTCACCAGCTTGGAGTTGTTGGCGATCAAGCTGTTGAGGGTGTTGAAGCCCATCTTGATGTTGAAGCGCCTCTTCTGCTCGGCTGAAATGTGCTTCATCTGCCGGTTCTGAGGGGTGGGCGGGGGCCCGTCACTGTGACCAGGGCTGGGCTACAGGGCAGGCGCCCCTTGTTCCGCCCACAACCGGCTGCTGACTGCCGGGGGGCAGACTGGAGCCTGCAGCGGGCCACCGGTCAGAGCTAAGGGGAAGGGTGACAGGAAGCCGGACGATCCCCACAGCAGCCAGAAGGGGACAGGCTGTGTGTGTGTGGGAGGCTCTATTGAACCCTCCCTGCAGCGCGGAGACGGCGCCGAAACTCCCCGCGGGGGAACCAGCACTGCTGACCTGGCGCGCCCCAGCCACCCCCAAACCTCTCGCCTGCTGTCCCCGCTCCCCCAGCTGCCGCCTCGGCCACCTCACAGGGGTCAGTGCTGCTTCCACAGGCCAAAGGAAGCGGGCTTCGCCTCAAAATTAAAGCAGCGATGTCCATGCTTCCAGTGACATCGCAGCCTGGGTGTCCCTAGTAAGGGACGTGGCTGTCCCAAAGGTCCCAACAGCCTCCTTGCTCCCTGCCTCTCCACCCTCCCGAGGGAAGCAAGACCGGAAGAGGCGCACGCTACCTTCAGCACATCCACGTTCTTGGGGTCTGCAGAGCCTTTCCCTGAGCAGTTGTTCTGGGGGGACTGGGGGCTGGGGCTGTGCTCTGACGTGCACGGCGAGGCCTGCCCTGAGCTCGCGCCGTCACAACCTGAAAGAGCAGAGAGCCCTCTCAGGCACAGGGCTAGCCTTGGGCCTCACTGAGCGCCCCCCAGCCAGTCCCAGGACACGGAACCCCACCCTGAGCCTCGAGAACGGCCCCCTGGCAAACTCCCTGGAGGGTTCTGTCAGGGTCAGGTGAGGCCAGACGGGGCCTGGCCGCAGGGTGAGTGGTCAAGTGCAGGTCCCCGGGAGCGTGGGAGAGCCCGGAAGGAGGCCCCACCTAATAGCTCCCTACAGAGCCACCCAGAAGCACCAGGGGTCTCCACAAAGTCTGTGAGGCACCTGCACGCCATCTGTTCTGTTCCTTAAAACTCCACGGTGCCCCTGACCTCTGGACTCCTCAGAGGTCACTGGGCCACTGGGTAGAGCCAGGGCCACCCTGACAGTCTCCTCGACAAGAGGCCCACACTGGCGATGGGCTCAGATGACAGTGCCGGGAAGCTGTCGGGGAGACATCTGGGGCCACAGCAACCCCAGGCTGCTGTCCCCTGGGAACCACCACCAAGGGCTCCCGGTGCCTCTTCTCTCTGGGTCAGGACCGCCGCTCAGGGCCAGAGCTCCAGGGAGGGTGTGGGTGCCGTTCCTGAACTTACAAGCCCCACTCGGCAGCACGCCCACTCCTGTCCACGCCCGCCCTGGGCCAGCTGTTTTCCTAGCCTGGGCCAGCGCCAGGCTTGGGGGGCCTCGCTGCTGGCCTGCAACCCCAGTCTGAGAGTGGGCCGGCTCATACTGCTCACAAAGTCCCAACTGTCCCAGCCACAGGGACACTCACTGGGAACTGCGGCAGGGACCGAGACCTGGGGGCCGCCACCGTGCAGTGGGGCCTGCTCGCCCTTCCCCAGGGTGTCCTGCACTGGACCTTGAGAAAAGAGCCGGGAGACGGGGGCGGGTGGGCTGCCAGTGGCATGGCCCAGGTCTGTCACCAAGATGCTGCCGTGGAACTCGGTGACTCCGGGAGCCTGGGGGTGACAGAGAGGGAGAGGGGTGACTCCTGAGCAGTCGTGTCAAGCGAGAGCCACCCAAGAGCGGGGCCACCATGCGGGCGTCAGGAGGCCGTGGCCAGGCCGGGCCCTCACCCGGGCGATGGGCGCAGGCGTGATGAGCACGCTGGACTGGGACGCGGAGGAGGCCAGCGCCCCTTCTCTCTTCAGAGGGCCTGTCATGATCACCGTGGGTGGCTGTCCCGAAAAGGCAGCTGCCAGAACAAGGAGAAGGCGACGGGGAGGCCGTGAGCCACGGGGCACGCTGAGCCCGGGCGGCCCCGCTGCGGGGACCCCCTGGGGAGACACACAGCCCCCTGCCTGCCTGGGGACACAGCTTTCCTCAGCACAGGCCATCGAGAGACAGAGCCACCGAGGCACCTTTTCCTGTCATGTCCCCCTGAAGGGGATGGGGAGAGATGATGGACTGTGTGTTTTCAAACTGGGCGGAGACACACTTTGAGAGAGCGACTCGGGAGAGAAGAGTGAACACCAGACAGACCGTGGGCAGTGCTTCCCAGCTTCTTTCCGCACCTTAATGTGCATGTCACAAGTGTGCAAGCCTCGGGACAGGGGCCCCCCCGACTCACCTTGGGTGATGCAAGCGTTCTTCAGTACCAGGGACACAGGCTCTGGTTTGGGAGCAGGCACTATTTTGGGGGGCTGCTTGGACCTCCCTCCAGTCAAGGACACAGGCTTGGGATGCACAAAAGTTAAACAGGGTTGGGGAGGCCCCACAGCTGGTGGCTGGGTGAGTGGGGACAGTGCCAGGCCATGGGCGGGCGCTGCGGGGGTGGGGTGGTGCGTGGTGATGACCAGGCCCTGGCTGGGGCTGAAGGTGGGGGCAGAGGTGCCCTGCGGAAGGGTGGCGGAGGCCGTGTGGGTGGCGACAGCGGGGGACTTGCTGGCTCCAGAGAACTTCTGTGGCTGCAGGAAGGTGGGTGGGGCTGGGGAGTTCAGAGCTGAGGCAGGAGGAGGGGCCAGCGGCACTGCAGGGGCTGCAGGCGGCGGGGCAGGGGTGGGCGAGAGCGTGGGCACGTTGAACACGGGGTGGAAAGACGGCGGGACTGCGGGTGGGGGTGTGGGGGTCCCGAAGTCTATGGGCTGCGTGAAGGGGTCCCGAGGCCGGGAGGCGCCTTCACAGCCCGGCCTGTCTGCGGGGTCCAGGGCAGCGGCTGCGGGGGACGCGATGAGGCTGTCGGGCAGGCTCACGGCGGGGAGGGTAGCGGCGGGCAGGATGTTCTCCTAAGAAGGGAAGAGGGAGCGAGAGAGGAATGTGGGGCCGGGTGACTCGCTACACGCCACCCTGTCCAGCAATGTGGGCCGGGCGCCTGGACTCAGGGGACCAAGGTGGGGCCCCCACCCGTTACTGCCGACCCGGGAGACGGCTGTGTCTCCCTGGGCGTCCGCGGGGTCCTGTTTCCATTAGGAACTAAGTGACAGCATGGGGCTCAGACAAGGCGACTGTCTGCACACAGCTGGCTCGCAGCCTGGGGGGATCTTGTTTCTGGAGTCCAGCAGGGGTCCCCCCAAGTCCCTGCCACCTTCGGTTACAGAGCAGAGGCGGCCTGGCTCGCAGCTGCGCTGGGGCTTCCCTCAGGACAGGCTCAGGTGTCAGCTGCTAGAGAGGCCGCCTCCTCCTCGGTGGGCAACGCTGTGGACGCGCCTGCGCAGGCCCATCTCCACCGCTACAGGGACGCCCCCCAGAGCCCGGGGGGGCAGGTGGGCTGGGCGACTGGCATCCAACAGGGTCCGGCACCTGCCCGAGGACCGCATCAGGCACGGGCCTGCCTCGCTGGCTCCGCAGCCACAGCAGCTGGCGAGCCAGCCCTGCCAACTGCTGGGTGGATGAAGGGCACAGAACTTCGTTTTACGCGTGACCCCGTTTTTCTTCGTTGTTGCCGGCCCCGTCTGAAACGGCCAGAGCGGAGCTCACCACGCATAGGCCGTGGGAGCCTCCGGCGGGCGGCTGTGTTTACAAAGCCGGCCTCCTGCCGCAGGCATCTCTGGGGCGCTCTGAGGAGTGCTGGATAATTTCGGGCTCGGCACTGCATCTTGCAGCTGCTGGCGCTTTGCACAGGACTGTGTGGACCTGCCGATTGCCAGCCCCGGCAGCAGAGGTTTCATGACCAGCCCCGGGCCCCTCCCCAGCCTCGTCTACCTGAGCAGGTGGGCTGCTGGGATTTGGGGCAGGTGCTGAGGCAGGTGCTGGCTGCATCCAGCCGAAAATGGAGCGGCTAGAGGAGAAGAGGTCTGAAAGACAACACCGGGGCCCTCTGAGCTCTGTGCCCACCACAGCCTTGGATCAAAAGGCAAACAAATCAGGCGATGACCCCCCACCTTACCCAGAGCGATGCCACGGCCAGAGAGCACCCCCCGCAACCCCTGGAGCTGCACAGGCCGGCCACCAGTGTGGGCTCTGAAACACTCCCAGGCGCCGCATTCCACCCCCACTTACAACGGCGGGAGCTCAAGGGCCAGTTCTAACGGATGAAAGCCGCTGAAGGCAGCCGTGTGGCCAGCGCCCTCTGCTGCCTAGAGAGGGAACTGCTCCGGGTCTCAGGCCAGCCAGAAGCGCTGGAGGCAGTGAGCATGAGACCCGCTGCCCAGGGAACCATGTCCCAGAGGCTCCCCAGAACGTGCAGCTACAACCAAAACAGAACCTGGCCCTGGGAACACTCTAGTCCTCCCGCGCCCTCGCACATCCTGACAGGGCTCTCTGCGACAGGGGAGCCCTGGGCCTCTGGGTCCCGGGCAGGGAGACGTGGGTAGCTGTGTCTCTCCCCGCCCCGCGTCCTCACCCTGGAAAGGCTCGAAGGTGTCCATGAAGTCCAGGTTGGGCTGCAGAGGGATCAGCCCCGGCTGAATCATGTCTGCGTTCCCCAGATGGGCTGCAAGAAGCAGAGAGGGGACAGAGGAACCACTCCGCTTTCTCAGACAGAGTTGTAGGAACACGTGAGAGGCCTGGCGCGGATCTTCCCGGACCTGCTCACATTCTGGATTCTTCCAAGGAGAAATGTGGGCAGCTGGCTGGGATCTCTACCTCCCCACGGATTCATGGCTACTCTCCACCCTCAGAAAGCAGGAAAGAATGCGAGTTTTTGCCAGGAAGGTAAATTGAGCGTCAGGAAGAGACACTGCCAGGAGTCCGTAAATAGCTCTGCAGAGCTGCCCCCCCGCCCAGCTCTGATCCTTAGTCCGTGGGCTCTTCCCCGAGGAGCCGACTGGGCAGCCAAGTGCGGCCAGGTGAGAGGTCCCACCCAGGAATGCTTCTGATTTCCTTACAGTGAGTGGCAGGCCCTGTGACCTGACCGAGGGGGCAGGACCAGAAATGTGAGGCTGACTCAGACCAAACCGCCTGCCGCCTTCTCGCGGTGATGCCACCGGCCAAACAGCTGCCCAGGCCAGCTCGACTTGCAGACCCACCCGTTTAGTGCGCACAGGCATCAGAGGTCCATGCAGCCCGTCATCCCCTCCCCCTGCTGCCTGCTCTAAGCCAGCAACACGCAGCAGCTGGGGGGCCTGCGGGAAAGCCTGACCCAGGGGGCTTCGAGGGGAGGAAACTGGCTGGGGGCGGGGGAGGGGCTACCTATCTCCCGGGGGTTGGGCCAGGCCACCGGCGGGTGTGAGGAGAGGGTGGAGAACAGCGTGTCACTGAACTCCGACATGAGCATCTCCGTGTCCAGCAGTGGGTCCTCCTCCATTGGGACGGGGGTCTTCCATCCATCCCCATGTTTGCTCCAGTAAAGCATGTCGTCATCCTACCCACACGGGAGGGCAAACAGAAGCGGTGATGGCGGCCTCGCGCTGGGGGCCATGTTTCCCTACTCCACTGAGCTCGGGGGGGCTGCCGCTCGGAAGAGGGGGGGAGGGGTGCAGAACTGTGGGACGAACCCCCTGCAGCCCACCCAGCAGGGAGCTCGCCCTTCTCCTCAGCCCTCTGTGTCCTTCCTGTGAAGAGGGGGTGGCCCCCCTCTAGCCACAGGGACAGCCTGTGTCCCCCCTCCTGCCACAGGGCTCACTGCTGAGCCCCCCCCCGTTATTGCTGCTTCTTGTCACAAGGGGTCCCTGGGAGGGAGGGACCCCCAAGCCCCCTTACCTGGGCCAGGCTGGAGAGGTCCTCATCCTTGTGCTGCTGTAACTGCAGAAACAAGGAGACAGGGGTCAAGGGGGTCACCACGCTCAGCCTCTCCTCCCTAAAGCCCGTGGACTCTGCCAGCATCCGGGCATCTTCCCACTGGGAGGCAGTCTCCCTGGCGCCCCCAGCTGGGCCGAAGGGGCTCCTACCCAGTGGCTGTGGAACCAGGAACCCGTGCACAGCTGGAGAGGCGGACAGCAACACCCACCCTGGGGCGGCTGCAACACCAGGCTCCACAAGCAGCTGCGGGGCCGCAGCCACAGGGCCAACAGTCTGAACACAGGACCTGGTCCCTTCCCTCTGCAGGGACGTCCCCAGCGTGCCCTTCCTGGAGCCCAGGCCAGATACCCTTTTCTTGAAGTAGGTCCTCCACTTGTGATACTCCCGGATCACAATCTCAATGCGGCTCTTCCAGTACTTCCCCTCCGTGGTGATGGCCTGGGAGGGAGAGGCCAGGGTCAGGGGGCGAGGGTCAGGGGGTGGAGGTGCCTCCAGGACCGCGGGGCCACCCCACACGAAGCCAGGCTGGCAGGCAGAGCCCAACGACCCAGCTCAGACAGCCCACCGTGTGTGTGCCCACAGCCTCACGCATGGGCGAGCCCTGTCCTGGGCTGCAAGTGGCCCCAAACTGGAGACGTGCTCGTGCACTGTGACCTGCGATGACCTGGGGGCGTCAGTGGGCAGGCCCTGGGGGCCTGGACGGGACGGGGTCAGGCAGGAGGCCTGGGCAGTGCGGCCCAGAGCCCGGCGTCCCGGCGCTGCGGGCCCGACAGACCCGGGGCGCCACCCAGTGCCCATTTCCAGGAGCCGCTGCTGCCTTATCACAGGGCCACCAGGAGCAATCGCCGAGGTGTCCGGTGGGGAGTGACCGACTTCCAAGACTATCTCGTTCAACTGAGCCGTTACATGGGGCACACATCCTTCCACGACACCCTTGGAATGCTCTGGTGACACGGAGTTCAGGGCGGCTGCAGCGGCCCCCCGTCAGCCCCCTACCACAGTGCAAGTCCCCTGTCAGCCCACCACGTAGTCACTCCATGCGTCTCAGGTGGTGGAGAACCCCCACAGTGAGCGACACAGTGTTGCCCTCAGACCTGACAAAAGGACGGCGCTCGGGGTCTCGTGCCAGATGCGTCCGGCCGCTTTCGGACGTCCCCCCTTTTACCGCAAAGTCAGACGTGCTCAGACAAGGTCAAAGCAACGCAAAAGGGCGAGAAAGAAAGGTGCTTCCCTTCCCCCACACACAACCTCACTGCTGGGAGCCACCCACAGTGTTTCCGAACGTCCTCCTGGACGCTTCCTAGGCCCGTGTGGTCACACAGAGACACACTTTGAAAAACGACGTGAAAATGCTGCTGTGCAGCTTGCGTCTTTCCACTCCCCGTTCCCCGCTTTGCACCCAGGACTCGAGGGCCTGGAGGCCGTGCTCCAGTCGTGGGAGACGGGCCCACGCCCTCCCTGTGGCCGGAGGCTCCTCAGGGTCGCAAGCGCTGACGGGACCTCAGGGCCTCAGCACCGGTCCCCCTGGTCTCCCACTGGGGGGCCCAGCCCTTGCTCGCAGCCCTCGGTGGGCTGTCTCCCCTGAGCGACAGTGACGTCCTTTCCTGGCCACCCCCCGTCAGGCGCCATTTACCTCTGGCCGGCGGTGCTCGTCCACGTCCACGGAGCCGTCCAGCGGGGTGACGAAGTGGCAGACGGGGTTGCTGCGCTTCTCCAGATCTGGGGGGGGGGGTGACACACCGTCTCTGTGCCGAGACGCCCGGAGGCGCCCTGCCCCCTGCCCGCACCTCCCCCTCCGGTGGGGCCTCCCACGTGTCCTATCCTTCTCTCCCCCCCAGGAAACAAGATTTTGGATAAATAACGGGGTCCGGGTTGAGAGAGAGAACCTGTGGCGGAGGCGTGGGTAAGAACGGGGGTCGGCCTCCTGGAAGCGACGGCCGAACCCCAGTGAGGTGCAGGCATGCGATCTGCAGCCGCTGCCGGGGGTGGAGGGGCCCGGGCCTGCATTTTCCTAGACCTGCTGGAACCCGGAACTGTTCCTGATGCTTCCAACGCCACCACCCTGCTGCCTCACCCGCCCGAATGCCCAGCAAAGAACCCAGACTGCGGGCGCCCTCCTGACACAGGCCCCCGCCGGCCCGGGTTTCCTGTCCCCGCAGACTGCCAGGCCCTCAGGGCCAGGCCGCCGGGCTCACGCGGCACTCACACTGGATGTACCACGCCCGCCAGATGGCGTTATTGAGCCGGATCTTGTCCCTCCACTGCAGCTTCAGGCCCTTGAAATTCTTCCACTTTGGAGACACCAGTTTCCCGCTGAAAGGCAAAAAAAAAAAAAAGAAAGAAACTCAGCGGCTCCTCTGAAAACGAAAGGACATCGGAAAGTGCTCCTCAGTCACCCCAGGCCGCCAAATTCTGGATTCATCCATTCCAAGCCACAGATGAGACTTGATGGAATATACAGACCATGGGGAGTCCTTCAAAGGGACATGGAGGAGAGGGCTGGGGGGGACGAGGAGGTCAAGGGTCAGAGGAGCGGGGCTGGCCACGTGGCTGACTCCTGGAGCAGGGTGAGGGTAACCTATTCTGTGTACGTTTGTGCACGACTGTAAAGTCTTCCAAATTCAAAGCTGAAGAGCAATCTGTTGATTTCACAACCTATTCTGTATGTCAATTACACTTCAATAAAGCTGGGGGGGACAAAAGCAACCTGCTGGCCACCAGATGAAAGCCACGCTCCTTCCGCCTGGCCTTGGCCCACCTCCTTTGCCACCAGTCCCCACGAGGCACTTAACAGTACAGACACCAACAGGCCCCCTGGCCTTGGGACTGGGGGGCCCCTTCCGCCCCAGCCTCTGCAGACATGGTCCTCCGGCCTCACGGAGCTGCTAGACCACCACCTCCTCTGAGCAGGCGCCGGCTCCCCCGAGTGCTGCTCACACCTCGAAGCCCGCTCACCCACAGCCCACGCGGCTGTGTCCGTCCCCACACCTCTGGCCATCAGACCGCAGCCTCCAGAGGGAGGGCCCCTCGGGTGGCGCTCACCCTGTGCACCCGGCCTGGACCCTGGCACAGCAGGAGCTCAGGCAGTGGCTCTTCGTTAATAAGTTAAAGAGCCTGCAAAGCAAGCGGACAGGCCAGGAACACTCAGCCTTCTCGGACAGTGGACAGCCTGGTTTTCCAAGGGCTGTGCCAGGAGCAGCGGGCACAGGGCTCCCCTTTTTCCAACGGCTGGAGATGGAAAAGACTATTTTTGGTGCATACCAAACGCGGTTCTCTGGGTCCTCCTGGCTGCAGGCCACAGTCCTTTGCCTTCTCCAAATCCACTCAGAAAGCTCAAGTGACGGGCAGAGACGTGCCAACAGGCACAACAGCTGAGGTCTTCAAAGACAGCACCCGAGCTGTAAACCTCGGCTGAACCTGACAACCTGGGCCGCACAGCAGAGGGCCTGGCTGCGGCCCTGGTGCACCTCCTGGCTCCGCCCGCTGACCCAGCTCCCGGCCAGGCTGGGAACTGCGGGATCACATTGCTCAGGAGGCTGGGAGAGCCCCCCCATCCCCGAGGAAATGTCACGGCACCCGCTGAGGATCTGTGGGGCAGACCGCAGCAGCCTCGGCTCAAAGGGTCGGGGGCTCCGAACAGGTCACAGGCCGTCCTCCCCGTCCCTCTGCCGCCCGGCGGTACTCCGACCCCGAGCCCACACAGCTCGGCCCTCACGCAAGCTCAGCAGCCAGCAGTGGAGCTCGTTTTCTGGAGTTTCTGCTGCAACACTGCCTCCTAACGGAGCTTTTACGGCCACCTAGTTTTTCTGGCTCACACCCCCTGGGTAAGGTCAGAGTAATACCATCACCTCCCGAGTGCTTCAATAAGATTAAATGTGTACACAGACACACCATGGGTGGACCCTAAAGCCAAATATGAATGTTAATAATCACCTCAAGCTTTGCCTGGTGTGGCTCAGTGGATTGAGGGCCAGCCTACAAACCAAAGGGTTGCCAGTTCGATTCCCATTCAGGGCACATGCAGGGGTTGCAGGCCAGGTTGCCAGTAGGGGGCGCATGAGAGGCAACCACACACTGATGTTTCTCTCTGCCCCTTTCTCCCTCCCGTCCTCTCTAAGAAATACAAATAAATAAATACAATAAAAAAGAATACCCTTAATGATTTAGATGGAAGTTATTGCCAAAAAGCCTGAGCTGTTAACGCCCCCTGGCCTGGAAAGCCCTCTCTGGTGGGAGCCGCTCGGTCCACGGGGCCCCTCCTCCTCTGCAGGAGGGAGAAGGTGGCACCGTGCGCACACTCTCGATGCTGATGAGCAAAGGCCTGAGCCAAGGTCCACCCCAAATCCCACGCAGCTGCAGGGCCACCGCCCTCCGTGGAGGAACGGGAGGGACAAAGCAGAGGGGCCCCTGGGGCACGAGGCCGCCTACGTACAGAGCGCAGCATAGAAGAGCGGAGGGCTCCGGGAGCGCGCAGTGGGGCTGACAGGCCCGTCTGAGCAGCCGGGAGAGGCGTTGCAGAGGAGGTGCCCCTAAGCCAAGGCTGAGAGGCCAGGAACCTTTAAATAAACCAAGGAGGGCGGGAGAGGCTGCTCCCTCGGCCTGGCCACTGCGGTGCAGTGTCCCCGGGGGGCTGGAGCCTGGAGGGCCTGGGGTGGTGGGGGGGCCTTCCAACCAGGCTGGGGAGCAAAGGACACCCCAGGGAGCGTCAGGCCCGCTGCTCGGCAAAGGCAACGCTCTCGCCCCTCCTCTGCGAGACCTTCCGGCAGCCTGATGTCTAGACAGGCAGGTGGTTCCAGGCAAAACAAAGCAGAAAACGGTCCCTATTTCTCTACTTCCTTTATGGGGAGACAAAACCCCCAAACTTCTAAAACTGGTAGCTTCTTCACACCGAAGCCCAGGATCAAAGGCTGCTCCTCTTGCTGGATCCAGAGCCGGCATCTGCCACCTGCAGAGATGGCTGCAGCGGAAGGGCCACCACGGACAGCGAGGGCTCCCGGGAGCAGCGCCGGCCTCGGGTGCCTTGCAGTGTCCAGTAAGCGTGACAGTGTCCTCTCGGAGAGGCGGGGTGGCCATGTGTTTGGCTTCGGTGACTTACACCGGAGGGGTGAGCAGGACAGAGATCCAACCACACTGGCTGGAGCCCAGAGCAGACGGGGCGCACCTCTGGGGTTCTCACCCTCTGCCTCCTCGCTTGCTGAAATGTTTCGCTTTTCCTTGACGTCTGTATCAAATTCAGTCAAACGTCAGCAGGAATGTGCCGGATTCCAGAGGGGACACCGCTCTTGCACCGGCATGATCTCCACGTCCCAGTGACACCTTGACCGGTGGCGCTCGACTGACACAAAGCAGTGAGTCCAAACCCAAACCCCCGACAGGAGCAGAGGGTGCATGGCAGGGTGGCTGCCACGGTGCCTGGCCAGCCCTCCCTTGGCAAGCTGTCGGGGAGGTGGGATATGGTCCTGTCAGCGTCTTCAGTGACTGGCTTCTCGGAGCCTGTGTGTGCCGGCTCACCGTGGTCTTCCCGGAGTGGAGGGGAGACCTGCCCTCTGCCCACATGCAGGGACCAGACCTGGACTTGGACCCTTGGCAGAACTGCCCGGGGTGAACTTCTGCTCCCCCAGCCCTGCCCCAGCTCAGTCCGTCACCCAGACATGGCCGACTGGGATGCTTCTGCGTCCGACTCGGGGTTATGCCATCTTTCTTCTACAAAGTGTAACCGCTACACCCGTGAAACTTTCTGAGACCACGGGCTTCCCCCCAGGACATAAAAGACTTCTTCCTGACAACCTCCCAAACCTGCCCCCCTTGATGCTGGTGCAGCTACTGGCGCTTCCCCATCCCACCAGTGACCCTAGAGTCGCCTCCAGCCCTCCCCCTCGGACCAGGGAGGTGGAGGCCTAGGTCAGACTCATCCCAGCACAGTGCCTGGCACCTGGGAGCTGCTTTCAAACGTGGAGTGACTGAGCGAGGGCCAAGCTTTTCCGTGAAAAGCACTCTTCACACTCACCCTGCCGCGAGGCCTTCCTGGAACACAGGTTCAGGACCCGAAACAGCAAGTTCACAGCACAACACAGGCCCCTCTCCAAACGCCTGGTGAGCATTAGGCTAACTGAAGTCTTCAGGTCTGGCAAGAGACTGCTGCGGAATGGAAGTTCTAGTGCGAGCCTTGCACAGACCGGAGCTGGAATTAAGACCCTCAGGGGAAGGTGGGACTGGGGCTGGGACTCGGGCTTCTGTGGGTTCCAGGTGGGATTAGCTCCTGTCTCCTAGTCAGACCACCATCTCCAAAAGCAGCAGGCACAGGGCTCTGGGGGCTGTCATGGTAAGTCCCAGCATACAGTGGGGTCCCCTCCCCGTTCCTCTGACTGTACTTGCTTGTTATGGGACATTCCTAGACACCCAGGAGCAAAGCATCCCTCGCCCCCCCCACCAGTGGTGAGAGTGGACATGTCACCAGTGAGTGGGGAAGATGCTGCCCACGAGGGCCCACACTCTCCGGGCGCTGCTCCTACAGGGCCGGGCAGGCGGAGAGGCCTATCCCAGCCCAGGACCGCCTGGAACTACCTGGGAAGGCAGCCTGGGGCCCTGGATAAGCCACGTGCTCCACCTGATCAACGGTGAAGGCATGATCACGGCCAGCGCCTGCTGACTCCTCCTCACTGAGGTGAGGCACACCAACCTCTTCAACCGCTGCAGAGCGTTCGACCCGTCGGCACTGCGTCCGGCCCCAGGAATCCTCCCACCTCGGCCCAGCAGCAGCAGCTCCCACCCCCGCCTCCCCTGGACCCTGGCAGCCACGTGTCTACGTTCTTTGTCCTGTGGGTTTGTTCCTTCCCGACATTTCATGTAAACGGAATGGAACCTGTGGCCTTTTGCATCTGGCCTCTCCCTCAGCGCGCATTCTCCAGGGTCGCTGGTGTCCCGGCAGGAGCCAGTACTTCGTCCCGTCCGCTGAGTGGACTGCCCCAGAAACAACTGGGGACACCCGTCTGTCGACGCTTCCACAATTCACATCCCTGCCTCACGACTGCGCGGCTCGGACCTGAGCCCGCACGTCCACGAGCGTGAGGCGGGGCGGCCTCACTAGAAGGGCGCTGCCTGCAGGGGCCAGAGGCCGGGCGTGACCTGGCTGTGCACCAGGGCAGGGGCTCACACGCCGCACAGGGAAGCTCACACCTGCGTATGTGCCGCTCACAGGCAAGGCCTACAAGAAGCGTTAAGTGAGAGAGACCCAAAGGGCAAGGCACACACCACGGCTGCCATCCACACTTCTGACAGGGGGACGGGCACGGAGGGATGCAGCGTGGGGCCCA